AAATCTCTGCTTATTTATTTTTATGGAATGTGTTCTGCTTTTTAAAAGTGTTGCCTCACCCCCCACACAGTGTATTATTTTAAAAGGAAGAGGAAATGTTTAGGTTACATGGAAGTACTTAGGCTGTTTATATACTGATGCCCTATTCTGTCCATTAGCCTGAAGCAGTAAAGCTGTAGATACACCTCTTTTTTTTTTTTTTTTTTTTTTGAGGCAGGGTCTCACTGTGCAGGCTGGTCTTGAACTCGTGACAATCCTCCTGCCTCGGCCTCCCAAGTGCTGGGATTACAGATGTGTGCCACCACGATTGGCATAAGTATTTTTTATTTTTATTTTTTTAAGTATTTTTTAACACACTGGAAAATACAAAAGTTAGTAAGTAGACTACTTGCTAAATGATAGGAATGGATCATAATTGAGAATTTTTATCTTTGTTATTGCCTGTGCCTCATGCTTTTTGGTAGTGATTATTTCTTAGACAAAAGAATGTGAACTTTAGAACTCATAAGATCTGTATACAAAAGATGGCTTTTTCTCTTTTAAGTTGGAGCTTTGGTAGGGCTCAATTCTCTTTCAGTCCTGTGTTCCTGAATTTAAGAAGACAGTCATAAACACACATGAGAGGTTTCATTTGCTGTAATTAATACATAGTTTTGTTTAAGAATTTTTTTTTTTCTGTGAAGTTTCTTTTGAATCAGGACTGGTTTGGTCACTTCATGCAAACAGCATGCTTAAGAAGATTTTTTTTAGGTTTTTTTTTTTTTTTTTTTTTGGAGCAGGGTCTTACTTTATGGTTCAGGCTGACCTTGACCTCACTATGATGTAGGCCAAGGTGGCCTGGAACTCATGGGGCCATTCTCCTGCCTCAGCCTCCTGAGTGGTGGGATTACAGGCATGTGCCCCTACACCTGGCTTGTATTTTAAATTTTTGTTTTTGTTTTCTGGTACCGGGAATCAAACTCACAACCTTGTGCTTGCTGGTCACGCACTATGCCTCTGAGCTAAATCCCCAGCTCCTGTATTTTAAATTTTTGAAAACTCCTTTTTTTTTTTTAGCTTAATCTTACTGTGTAGAAATTTTTCTATTACAAAATATGCTTTATATGGCAGTAATGTTTTCTACCCCTCCCCATAAAATCACCTAGAATCAAGCATCAGGTACTGTAGAATTGATTTTTTTTTAGGCAGTGTCAAAAGGATTCTTTTTATTTAATGCTCTTTTAAAAGTATCCTAATTACATGTATTTTCAACAGATGTGTGACAGATTTCAAGGAATTTCTAGTTGAGTGGATCAGTGGATCTGTTCCTGGTATCTCTCAAGTGTATCTTTGTACACACTTAAACACATACTCTTCCAGTGAATTTCCCCCTTTGTTAGTATTGCTGCGTGTTACTGCTGATTATGTAACTTTTTACATGAACTTCTGTCTTGGTTACTTTTTTCTCACTGCTGGGACAAAATACCTGACCCCCAAAGTTAAGGAAGGAAAGGTTTGTTTCACTTACAGTTCGTGGAAGTTTCAATCCGTACTTGGCAGATTATAAGGCAGAGTGGCACGTGGCAGAGGGCTACATCTCAGGGCGGCAGCACACAGCTAAGCCCCAAGCACCCACCAGGGCGGACTGGGGGAGGAATGCCCCCAAGCAGCTTCTTTCTCTCCCTTACATATGCAAACTATCCACTCCAGGGCGGGTGCAGCTCTCACACCCATATTTAAACTCTCAAAGCCTGCCCCGTGTCCCCATGAGGCATTGGGGGTACACACAGACATAAACCATAACAACTTCTTAAAACACAAACTCTAGATTTTGTGAATAACTGAAAGCAAAACAGTGATAAGTGACAACATACTTCTTTTTACCTAGGCATGTATCACTTTATGGTTTCTGTAAATGGTCTGCTTTGCCTTTAGAAATTGTATTTTATTTAAGATGGCGTTGGCCTGAGATAGAGCTCAGTTGTAGAGCCCCTTACCCAAACATGCCCAAAGGCTTGGATTTGTTCACTGCTTATTTATACCAGTCTACATGCTTGACATAAAAGCATAGGGCTTGTGTAGGATCGTATACCCCCATGCTAACCAAATTACAGCCTAAAATCATTTTACTTTTTAAAAATCTTTTCCTTTTGATTATTTTTAATATAGATTGAGTTGTACAATTTGAATTTTTTTTTTGTTTTTGTCTTTTTGAGGCAGGGTCTCACGATGCAGTTCAGGCTGGCTTTGAGCTAACTTTGTAGTCCAGGCTGGTCTTGAACTTTCAATGATCCTCCTGCCTCAGCCTCCCCAGTGCTGGGATTACAAGCATGCACCACCACACCCAGCACAATTTGGATTTGAAACATAAAAATAGAGTTCTTCACATTCAAAGTTACAGTAATTTTAGTAAATGTATAGATTCTAGAATAGAGAAATGTCTATAGAATTTTCTCATTGAATCATTTTTCCAATTTTCTAATAGTACATGTGTATCAAGTAAAATGAGGATTTTCTTTTACCTTTACTTTTTATTTTTGGATTTTTTGAGTCAGGGTCTTGCTGTGTAGGCCAGGCTGACTTGATTTCACAGCAGTCCTCTTGCTCAGCTTTCTGAGTCTTGGGAAAGCAAGTTTATGCCACTATGCCTGGCTATATAAAATGAATATTTTTAAAACAGAATTTTAAAATTTCTCTTGATAACTTGCAAATAAAAAATGTATTTTTTTTGCCAAGCATTTTGTAATCCGTGTGTTTTAAGTATTAAATTATTTTTGAGCCACTATGAGCAGTTAAAATACCACAGAATAGAACTAGATTTTTTTTAGAGTAGAGTGATGTCTCAGTCACTGAGTGAACAGTTTGACCTTAAAGCAAGTTTGTAATCTCCCTGTCCTTGTCTGTGAAATGGCACATACAATAAAGCAGCTTCATATTAGGGGTATTGAGGTAAATGAATACTTATGGCTGATACTGAATACTCAGTAATTGTCAGCTATAGTTTTCATGGGAACTAAATCAGTTGTGCTTTAAACAAATTTTATGAATTAAAATTTTGTAGTTTGTTTTTTTTAATGTTTTTTTTAACTTTTGTAATTTGTGATGTTGGAACACTTACATTTTCCCCCACCCTGGAGAACAATAAAACACTGTATTACATATAGAAGGATTATGACTAACAAGAAATCACATTGTAGAATAGCATGAAGAAATCCGATGGCCAAAACCAGTGGTTTTCAAATGGCCATTTAGATCTATCTTTTTTTTCTTTTTTTGAGGTGGTCTCACTATGCATTTCAGGCTGGCCTAGAGCTCATGATGATCCTCCTCCCTCAGCCTCCCAAGTGCTGGGATTACAGGAGTACACCACCACACACGACCTAGATATTATTATGGTAGACTCTCATATACAGTGTTTGTGCATGGGTAAATTTGAATCCCAGTTCTCTTAAATATCATTTCCCAGTGCCTCTGGAATGAGGGTTCAGAAATCTGTATTTTTAAATTAATACCTAGGTGATTTTGATCTAGATTTAGAGTTCTTTGGCCTTATTCTGTAGGCACATCTTCAACACTTGTGTATCTTGCACCATGTCACTAAATAAGCATTGTAATTTGCAGGTAGACTATGTAGCTTTCTTGTCAGTAGTAGTTCTCCAATTGTCTACAAAGGAAGTCTAAGCTTCTTTCCTGGTGTCCAGGACCCTTTGCAATTGATCCCTATTTTCTCAGCCTCAGTCTTTTTCCTGGGTCTCTAATTAAATTGACTTACACTTCTGTCTGCATATAGGCTTTTTGATTTTTAGTATTCTCTCTCTTTATTTATTATTTAGTATTTTTGAGACAGCATCTCACTATGCAGTTCAGGCTGGCCTTGAGCTCACTTTGTAGCCCAGGCTGGTCTCGAACTCACATGGATCCTCCTGCCTCAGCCTTCTGAGTGCTGGGATTACAGGTGTGTACCACCATACCTGGCCCTACTTTTAAACAGGCATAGAATTTAGCATTCCTTATGTTGGTCTCCATGACACTTACAGTTTTACCTATCTCATTCCTGTGTATTTATATTTGTATTCCCTGCTAGATTGAGCTGTCCTTGTGGACTGGAACTTCGTATTTTTGACTTACTGAAGGGAATTGAGGAAAGTAGTAAACCGAGAGATTAATGGCTATTCTAAAGTCCTGTAGCCTAGTCAGTGACAGAACCCCAGGTCCCAATCCTGAATGATACTACAGCCTAAATGTGCTTATTCCAGAGTATGATTTAACTTCAACAGTGTTAACCAGATGTATAAAAGAAACTAACTTTGCTTAATAAGTAAAAAATAAGTAGAAAATAAATTTCCTTTTAAGGAGCTGCTTTTCCCATGGATGATTATAGGCCAGTGTTATTATATTAAAACCTTTATAGAGGCAGAAAGATGTTCAAGCTGTAGATAATGATCTATTTATTGAAACAAAACTGGTTTAAATTCTTCGTATTTCCTATGCCATGAGGTTAACTATTCCATAAAAAAAGAGAATACTTATTAGGCCAGGAATTAAAAGGCCCAGGACCATCTCTGAGTATATTACAAGTTTTAGAAAATATACAAATAAAAATGAAAGAGAAAGGTGAGTTACACATAGAGGATATATCTTACCCGATTATTACTGACTAAGTATATAATTTAGGATAAAGAGTTTGTGGATAATTAACTGCTTGTCCTCAGTTTGCATTTCTTTTTTTTTTTTTTAAAGAGTAAAAGAAGGATAACATAATAATAGGGGGGACTTAGCAAATTACAGACAAAATGGTAGGAAATTATCAATGGTTATTGTTTTACATATTGTTATCTACAAAATAGTTTCTCAGGAAAACAAATAGACAAATAGTAGTGAGTTACAGACAAAAGAGGTAGGAGATTATCAAGAGTTGTTGTACTATACTTTGGTATCTTCAAAGTGTCTTCTTCAGTTTGCATTTCTAAAACCGTGTATATATATATATATATACTTTTTTTTTTTTTTTTAATTCACAGCTTTCCCTTGGTTTGGCATGGACATTGGAGGAACTCTAGTAAAGCTCTCATACTTTGAACCTATCGATATCACAGCAGAGGAAGAACAAGAGGAAGTTGAGAGCTTAAAAAGTATTCGGAAATATTTGACTTCTAATGTGGCATATGGATCCACTGGCATTCGGGATGTACACCTTGAACTGAAGGATTTAACGCTTTTTGGTCGAAGAGGGAACTTGCACTTTATCAGATTTCCAACCCAGGACTTGCCTACTTTTATCCAAATGGGAAGAGATAAAAACTTCTCAACATTACACACGGTGCTATGTGCTACAGGAGGTGGTGCTTACAAGTTTGAAAAAGATTTTCGTACAGTAGGTATTTGTTACTTGAGCCAAAAATTTATATTCCTTGTGTTCAGTTTTAAATATGAGGCTGGATTTCCATTTAGAATATCCTCAGGTTAGTTCTCCTAAGGAGGCAGAAGAAGGATGTATTCATGAGTAGCCTTTCATTTGGGACAGATTTTTTTTTTTTGCCTTTTTGATACAGGGTCTCACTATGCAGTTCAGGCTGGTCTTCGACTCACTTTGTAGCCCAGGCTGGCCTTGAACTCTAAATGATCCTCCTGCCTCAACTTCCTGAGTGCTGGGATTATAGGCATGTGCCACCATGCCCAGCGTGGGACATTTTAAACACCTATATGGGATAACTAACGTGTTCAGATGGGGCCATAATTCCTATAACTCGCTGCTAGGCAGCTTGAACCTCCAAAATAGTACATGTAAGACTGTCCCATGCATGACTGTGCCCTTGGTGGTTCAGACTGGGGGAAAGTTGTTAAATTGCCTAGATTTAGGCATATTGTTGCACATAAGGTTTGGTAAAAATGTGCTAAGTTTAGGGCTGTGCAAGGAGGGACTTAAAACCTGTGGTGGCACAGTACCTCAGAAGGCCTAAGCTAGAGATGTGTGAGGGAAACCTCAGTGAGTTTGACAGTGTACAAAGTCAGATGTAAAAAGGGTTTGAATTCTGTCATTACGTGTGTGGGTTTTTGAGTAATTCATGTAGTTATTTCTCCCAGGGCCTTTTCTGTCTAACACCCTGGTTGGTTAGTAGACACCTGAATAAAAAATGTTAACCCTTTTTTTTGGTTTTGTACCATCAAACTTACTGTATTCCTTTCTTGGAGTCATTTAAATATGACAAGATTTTTGAGTACAGTAGGTCCCCAACTTTTGAACAAGTTCCATCTGGGAGTACATTGGTAAGTTGAATTCGATTGTGTGACAAAGTGAGTCCTACACCTTTGACATAGATACACAACATACAGATATGCAGGGTTTTATTGCTTGCTTTTGTTTGGTTTGGCTTTGTTTTGTTTTGATGTGTGAGTGGAGATTAACCCTGGGGCTTTCACAGAGTTACCACCTCCGTTCTTTGTTTTGTGAAAGAGTCTCACTAAGTTGCCTGGGCTGTATTCTGACTTGTGATCTTCCTGCCTCAGCTCTCCAGAGTGCTGGGATAATAGATTTGTGCAACCCTACCTGGCTGATGTTCTAATGTTTAAAAATATGTATTTAAATGATGATCTAGAAATTTGTTAATGTTGTCATTTATTGGGCAACTACTTAGGCATTTAGTGTGTGTCAGGTATTGTGATCAGTATTGCAAGGTTGCAATTAACAAATATGACACAGATAAAACCCTCAAAAAGTATGATGATTCTTGCTGGGCATAGTGGTAACACACCTGTAATCTCAGACCTCAGGAAGCTGAGGCAGGAGGATCAATGTGAGCTTGAGGCCAGCCTGGGCTACATAGTGAGTTCAAGGCCACCCTGAACTACATACCAAGACCCTGTCTTAAAAAGACAAAATAGTTATTCTAGACCACACAGGTGTGTCAATTCTAAGTAAAAGCACAGTACATCACAGTATACTCTTACTTGAAATGAATTTAGTAATTTCAAACAGGTACCCAAACTAATAAAAACAAGAAATTACAGTCTTTACATAGCAATATTAACTGGTGTGATCATACCAGAGGACGTGATGAAGTCATTAAATGTTTGCACCTACATAAAGATTCATGAATAATAGAAAAACTACAAATGACAGGTTGATGTAGTGTATTTTGTTAGAGAATCAGAATCCATAAGCTGTGGTGCTGTGGGTGACATTATTTCCAAGATGCTTATCGATGCTTAGGAAAACTCCAAACGGTAACAGTACAGTATTCCTATGTTTGTATGGTGATTGAATTCCTAGCACATTCAGTATGTTAGAATCATGTGAAAAATGGTTGTACACATAAATAAAATACTTTGTGCTTATGTAGGTTTAGATCATCATAAATAAGCATATGAAAATTACACAATAAAGTTGTCAAGTATTTTGAATGCTGCCTTCCATTTAAATTTACATTTTCAATTTTTGTAGATTGGAAACCTCCACCTGCACAAACTGGATGAACTGGACTGCCTTGTAAAGGGCTTGCTGTATATAGATTCTGTCAGTTTCAATGGACAAGCAGAGTGCTATTATTTTGCTAATGCCTCAGAACCTGAGCGATGCCAAAAGATGCCTTTTAACTTAGATGATCCCTATCCACTGCTGGTAGTGAACATTGGCTCAGGCGTCAGTATTTTAGCAGTCCATTCCAAAGACAACTATAAGCGAGTAACTGGGACAAGGTAGTAACCTTTTTCTTTCTTTTTTTTTTTTTTTTTTTTTTTTTTTTTTTTTTAAAGTATTCACAGTGTAAAGTACATATATTGAATGATTGGGAGGAATACTGGGGATTAAACCCAGGTCCTTACATGTTCTAGACAAGTGCTACCCCTCTGTACAGCCCCAGCCATGAAATTAATATATCGATGCTAGCTTTCCTGAAAAAATGGCATGTATTTGTACTAGGTGAAGAAGTTAAAATGTTGCAGGTAATCTTTTTGTAAGATGGCATATGTAAAGATTTAATTAGAATTAAAATCCTGAAATATTTATCAGTTGGCATCCAAGTTTTCATAATAATGAGTGAATTTTTATCTAGAATGATTCTAATAGTGTTTTTTCCAGAATTTGATAAAGGAGCACTTACTAGAAGTAAAAGTGTTTTGTTGATTTCAGAATTACAGTATTCAGGGGCTGGGGATTTAGCTCAGCGGCACAATGCCTGATGGCAAGCGCAAGGTCGTGAGTTTGATTCCCGGTACCGGAAAAAAAAAAAAAAAATTACAGTATTTGTATTTTATGATTTTATTTCCAGAACATTTTTCTTCTTGTCCTGTTTTTCTTTTTTTTGTAATATATTTAAGGAAAGCTTACCATATGCTAAATAGATTTACATTTAAACCATGGTGTTGGGTAACACTGTAATGCTTATACAAAGATTAATGTGATCCCTGTGAGTCCATAAAATATACAATGTATGAAATATGAATATGAAAAGGATTTAATATTTTTCATTATTGTCTTATGTATTTTATCAGCTTTTAGAAGAGGAAGAGACTCTTGTTCAGTTAAAGGAGAAAAATTTGGGCATACTTTAAGTCAGATTAATTCGTGGGAAAATTCACTTCAGTTTTTTTTTTTTTTCTTTCACTTCAGTTTTAAAGTAGTATTCCTGTTTATGATACTTAAATATAATTAGCACTTTGTTTAAAAGTTCACCTCCACTGAAATACTATGCCAAAGAATTGTGCACATGTATTTCCTGTTTTGATTAACATTAAAAGACAAAAATTTGCTCTTAATTAAACAAAGGTTCATAGATAGAACCTGCTAGAAAGAAAAGACTGGGAAAGAAAGATTTTTAGTTTATAGATTAGAGAGATATGATTTCTTTTTTTTCTTCTTTTTTCTTTCTGTCTTTTTGACACAGGATCTCACCATGCAGTTCAGGCTGGCCTCGAGTTCACTTTGTAACCCAGGCTGGTCTCACAGCTTGCAATGATCCTCCTGCCTCAGCCTCCCAAGTGCTGGTATTACAGGCGTGCGCCACCATACCTGGCCTATGATTTCATTTTATAAGCATATCCAAAAGAATAAGACTAAGAAAATTTCTGTCATTTATGTGATGATCAGTGGGACATCAATATCATTATCTTTATGTCTAGGTCATATTAGATGTTAATATGTCAAATTGAATTGATTTCATTTTTGTCCACAGTAAGTCATTTGTCTAATTTTTTTTTTTTTTGTCCCATATTTCTTGTAAACCATTTAAAAGTGTAAATTTTCTCCTTTCAATTCATGTTAGGGGACAGGGATTTAGCTCAGTGGCACAGTGCCTTGAGCGTGAGGTCCTGAGTATGATTCCTGGTCCTCTCCCCCTCAAAAATTCATATGTTACTAATTTTTAACCTTTTTTTTTTTTCTAGACAGTATCACTGTGTAGTTCAGGCTGGCCTTAAACTCAACTTTGTAACCAGCCTAGCCTCAAACTCGCAGCAATTTTCCTTTTCTTTCTTGGTCTCTTGAGTGCTGGGATTACAGGTGTGTACCACCATGCCCAGCTCTTTTCTTTTTGAGATATGGTCTTGCTTTGTAGTTCAAGCTGGCCTGTGTAGCCCAGGCTAGCCTCAAATTCATGGCAATCCTCCTGCCTCAGACTCCCAGGTCCTGGGATTACAGGTGTGCACCGCCACACCCAGCTTTTAACATTGCTTTTTAGTGTACACACACAAATATATTTTTAGCAGCTACACAGTGTAAAGTATGGGCGAACCCCCTGCTTGATCTGATTGTACAGGTTTTTTTTACTGAGCAGTTTTTCTTGCCTTCTTTCACTAGGATTTAGTAATGCATTCTCTCTGTGTATATGCTCGATGAATGAATGCACCCTTTCACTTTGGAGAAAGAATATAGTATATGAATGCAACTTTAAATTTTTCTTTATTTCCTTTAGCCTTGGAGGGGGTACCTTTCTGGGCTTATGCAGTTTATTGACTGGCTGTGAAAGTTTTGAAGAAGCTCTTGAAATGGCATCCAAAGGTGATAGCACCCAAGCTGACAAGCTGGTCCGAGATATTTATGGAGGAGACTATGAAAGATTTGGTCTGCCAGGATGGGCTGTAGCATCTAGGTAAGTTCAGCATTTGTGTTATCCAGGTTGTTCATTAAATTTTTTGGAAGGCAATCTATTAGGGAGTTATAAGTCTTCTTTCTGTTATCTTTTCTGGTTTCAAACTTTGAACATTGATATAGTTTAAAAATTAGACATACATTAAGAGGTTTACCCTGTAAGAAACCACTTTTAGAACCACATGTAATCCCAGCACCTGGGAGACTGAGGATCTTGAGTTGAGGCCAATGTGGAAAATTAGTTCAGTACCAGCCTAGACTACGTAGCAGGACACTTGATTAAAAAAAAAAAGCCACTTTTCATTTTGAAATATCTTTCCCTAGTACTTTATGCAAATACAAATGCATATCTTTATTGCCCTCTTGTACAAAAAAATACCATTTTTATGGCATACTTCTATATTTTATTGTATGGCACACTATATATAAAGTGGCCATATGTGCTTGAAATCTTTCCATATTGTAGTTGTACCCTTTTGTATATGTAAAGTTTTATCTGTAGGATAAATTACCAGACTTGTAAATGCATAAGTGTGCTCCGCAAAGGAGTGGTCTGTTTTTCACCCTACCAGCAGTAGATAGAAATGCCTGTTTCCTTACAGTCTCACTAGAGGTATGCTGCCAGACTTCGAATTTTTGCTAATCTGATGGAGAAGTGGCAGCTTTCTGTAATTTTAATTTGTATTTCTCTCTTTACATATGTTTTCTTCTGTGATTGTTCATGTTCTATTTTTCTGTTGGATTGTTACACAGTTGAATTTATCAGTGTTTTCTTTTATGGCTTCTGGATATCGATTCATACTAAGTAAGTCTTCCACATTCCAAATATATATAGGAATGAAGCTTTATTTATTTTTCTGTTACTTTAGTGGTATTTTATATTTTAATACTTGATTTAACATTTTTGTTTAATAATTTATCTTGGAATTTTGTGTGAGGTATAGATCCAGTTTTAGTTTTGTACTTCTCTTTCTAAAGGCCCTAATATTGTATTTAGGTCTTCATTTGCATATTTAATGATTTGAAATGACTTCTTTATCATACACTGGCTTTTCATTACTGTGTTGATATTCAGCACTCTATTTTTAGATTTATAGAAGCATGTAGGTATGCTTTAATATCTAGAAAGGCTCCCCCCACATTGCTTATGTCATTTCCCAAATGAAAATGAAAATCATATTCTCTAATATGAAAAAAATATATGTTAGGCTTGTGTATTTTCTTAAGAAAAAAGGCCATTTTTGTGATGTTGAGTCTTGCCATTAAAGAAGTCATCTTGGCTGTTTGCTTAGGGCTACTTTGTCTTTCAGACATTTTAGAGGACTTCATATATATCTACACATCATTTTTAAAATTCTTCTTAAGTGTTTGTTGTTGTTTATTGTATACCATTCTCATTTCCATTATACTAACTGGTTGTTACTTACACACTCCCAAGTTCTTCGTCAGGGTGTCCAGTGCCTTATAGTAGTGATCTTGGCCTAAACTGTCTGCATCTTTCCTCTCCCTTACATGGGCCCTGCATTCTTAGCATTAGAGGTACCTTTTCATTTTATAGATGTTTTCAGTTCTCATTTCTTTGTGCCTTTAACTTTTAGTTGCTTCTTCCTAGGATTTTCCTTCTCTATTTTTTTTTTCTGGTTAATTTTTTCTGTTACTTTTACTCTGGAAAACCTTTCTTCAAACCTTCTCAGCTTTTTCCTCTTACACAGTGGTACAGGGTCTTCTTTCCATTGTTTCCAAGGTTACCTGTGGTTTGGTTTGTATTTTCCTGCTATACTTAGTGCTCTTTCTCCTGCTCCATCTAGGCCTGCACTGTCCATACAGTACCCTTGAGCCACATGTGTGCAGTGAGCATTTCGAAGGTGTTAGTCCATGGCACATGGTAAAGTGACTGTATTTGGATATACTGCTTAAGTAAATCACACAATTAAAACTAATTTCACCTGTTAATTTAACCTTTCAAAGATATCTAATGGAAACTATCCATGAAATTGCTGTGGCTTATATTTTGTATCTATTGGACAGTGCTGCACTAGACCTAAATTTCTGAGGGACTTAGTGTTCCTAACATGATGCTTGCTGTGTCATAAATGTTCATTATAATTAAAAGGAATTTTACTTTAAACTAAGATACCTTTGAAAACATTTTACTTTTTAAACATAAGTCAAAGGGGCTGGGGATTTAGCTCGGCGGCACAGCGCCTGCCTAGCAAGCGCGAGGTCGTGAGTTCAATTCCTGCTACCAGAGAAAAAAAAAAACCCAAAATAAATAAATAAATAAACATAAGTCAAAATGTACTTCCCTATATTTTCTTGGCTTCCTAAAATCATAGCCATTTAATTTCATCATTTTATCTCAAGTTTTAAAATGTAAATATTCTAATAATCTTTGTTTTCTTGGAACAACTTTGTGTTTTTCCTAATTCTAACCTAAATTCATTAAGAGGTACTATTTTATCCTTGTGTAGATTTTTGTTAATTTGCTGTAATCTTATCCCTGTGTATGCCAATGTATGAGAATGTTGCTCATTACCAAACAATTTGACTCTTGTCTTTCATTTTTCTCTAGTTTTGGGAATATGATTTATAAAGAGAAGCGAGAATCTGTTAGTAAAGAAGACCTGGCAAGAGCTACCTTAGTTACTATCACCAATAACATTGGTTCTGTGGCACGAATGTGTGCTGTAAATGAGGTAAAAAAAAAAAACCCTTTTATGAAGAAAATGAATGACAGCTTGTTTTCCTTGAGGCTTCTGAGATTGAAATATGTTCCGTTAAATCCCTAAACTCATGAAATATACGTCGTATACCCAGTTGCTTTACTAAGTTAAAAGAAAGTAGCAGATAATCCAGATTTAAATAGAACAAATATGTAATTATCCCGAAACCTTTTGAAAATACACAGCATAAATCTCTTCAGTATGAAAAGAAAATTCTAAGCATAAGACATTTTGAGCTGAGTAATTTTTGAAAACTTTGTTTTGAGGCAGGATCTCACTGTGTAGTTCAGGCTGGCCCTGAACTCACTATATAGCCCAGGTGATCCTCCTGCCTCAGCCTCCTGAGTGCTGGGATTACAGGTGTGTTCCACCATGCCTGGGATGAAAGCTTTCTTATTTTAATTTTTACTGTCAGCATTGGATTAGTAAAATGCTTGGGAGTTTTCTTACTGCCCTCGGCTTCTTTACAGTGCTGCCTTGTTGCATATGGATCAAGCAGCATTGTACAGGGCTATGAAGGCATTGAGACTTATTCTTCATATATTTGAATAGTGTATACTGCTTTTCTTCTAAGTGCCTGTACTTCAGAACAGCTTAGGGCCAGGGATAAAGCTCAGCGGCACAGTGCCTACCTGGCAAACGTGAGGTCCTGTGATTCTCAGTACCAAAAAAAAGAAACAGCTTAAAAAGCAGGTACTGCTGGATTGACCATATAGCTTGGGAAAGAATATACATAATTCACCTACATGTATATTTGCCCATTTAATTTTTATAAATATTAAATGCTTCAAATTGATTGGGAGCTGCTTCTTGAGGGAACCATTCATTTGTTCATTCACTCATGTATCACTGAGTAAATATTTGCAAAGTACTGTGTACTTGACATGGTTCTAGACCCTGGGAATGTAATATATTAGTGAAGAAAACAAAGATTTCTGACTGGTATTTACATTGTTTTGCTGATATATTAAGTAAATCATTTGGTATGTGTTAGATAAAAAATGTAATTTTTTAAAAAAGGAAAATCAAGTAAGATAAAAAGAACTAGAAATAGGACAGAGGATAGCAGAGACAAATCACAAGTAATGGAGTGATTAAAAGAAGGTTTTATTGAAAATGGTACCTGTTCTAGAAAGTCCTCTTTTGCATGAATTACATAGTAAAGGGTTTGAATATGATGGGGCATGCTGTCAGTAACTGGGTCTTAAATGGTTCATAAAAATCTTATAAGTGAAGTTTTAAAATCAGAAGGAAGGAAGGAAATAAAAACAGAAAAATAATAAATATGACTGTGACCCTTGAGCAAAGATTTGAGAGGAGCCACACTTGAGGATGTTTGGGGGAGAAGCTCAAGCACAGAGAACCACTATGCAGAGGTGCTGAGTTACTCTATGTTGAAATCCAGGCTCTTACTTTTAAATTTCTTAATAACAGGTGGTAAGTTGATTAATGAGATTTGGGGAATAATCCACTTTGGGGACAGACAGTAATCTGGGACTTTGGTTCTCAGCTCTGTAGGTCTTAATTTCTACTGACCTGGTTGAATTATCAGTAATTAAGGCCATGGTTGACATTACCCAAACACATCTGCAAAGATACATATTCAAAAGTCAGCGTATTACTCTGGAGGCAGAGGCAGGAGGATTGCTGTGAGTTTGAGGCCAGCCTGGGCTACACAGTGAGTTCAAAGCCAGCCTAAACTACTAAGTGAGACCCTGTTTGGAAAAAACCAAACACACAAAGTCAATGTATTGCCTAGTGTGGTGGCGCATGCCTGTAACCCCAGCACTTGGAGGGCTGAGGCAGGAGGATCCTTGCAAGTTTGAGGCCAGCCTGGGCTACAAAGTGAGCTCAAGGCCAGCCTAAACTGCATACTGAGACTCTGTCTCAAAAAGACAAAACAAAAAACAAAGTCAGTGTATTGTGAGAGAAGCATAGGTTTTCTGATTGGTTCCCTTACCTAAGATTTCCTAATTAGATGGACACCCAAGAATGCAAATGAGTGTCCATGGAATCTTAGCAGAGGGAGAACAGATGGACATGCTATGGAGAGACATAGGGTTGGTACGTATGTAGTACCCTAGTCGTTGTTACTCCTGCTCTGTATGGAATCCATATCACATGTCATAATTGAGCACGCTTTGCAATGTACTGGGCACGTTTATATTTTATCTTCAGTGTATCTTAAAATACTTGGGGCTGGAGATACAGGTCATTGTAAAGCCTGTTTGAGACATATATGAGACCCTGGGTTCATTCCTCAGCATCAGAAAGAATCTACCTTTTTTCATTTGATTCCTTTAAGGTATCTCCAAATTTAACTTCGATGCATTATTCTCCATTTTCAAAAACAACTCTTACCTGTAATCTTTGCTAAAGTCTTCCTGAACTTTTTAAAGCAGACTTTTATTTTTTAAAAGTTTTTCTGTAGTAAAACCAAATGGAAAGTAGAGTTCCCAGGTGTACCTGCCTTCCACACACATACATAGCCTCCCTGAATCGTTCCCCCTAAAGAGTGATAGAGTCGTTTAGAGTCTGAACCTGTGCTGTCATATCATCACTAATGTCCATACACAAAAGCAATAGTTTACATTAGGGTTCACTTTTAGTACTATGCATACTATGGGTTTTGACAGATGTACAGTTACCTGTCCACTGTTGACTCCCATTTTTGTGTGTGTGTGTGTGTGATGGTGGTAGTGGGAATTGAACATAGAGCCTTACACATGCTTGGCAAGTGTTCTATCACTGAGCAAAATATCTAGCCCTACATTTTTAGGTATTGTAAATCCTTTGTACTATAAAGTTTATTTAATAATTCTTTTACAAGTTATTGTCTTGGATCTTTTCTTCTAGAAAATAAACAGAGTTGTCTTTGTTGGAAACTTTTTACGTGTCAATACTCTTTCAATGAAACTTTTGGCATATGCACTGGATTATTGGTCGAAAGGTCAGCTGAAAGCATTGTTTCTAGAACATGAGGTATGACAAAAATGTTTTATGAATTATTTAATGGCATGCTTTTAGGTGCAAATTTTATATGTTGGTTCCTACCTTATAAGTGGAAAACTACAAATTATTTACTTAAGTAGAATATTGTTCCTTCATTTCAGTTTCGGTTGGGGAAAGAGGGTTCCTACAACTTGGTAGGAACCCCAAGAGAATTTTTATAGCTCTTCTGACCACGAGTGCAATGTGAGGTCTCTGAGCTTTTCAGATACCTAGTGCTGCTGTAGACTTAATGGCTGTGGTTAGAACTGCCTCTGCCCTCTCTTATTTACAAATGTTAAATATGGGCAACACAAAAATACATAATTTTGCCAAAATTCTTCATCTCCCAACAGCCCCATCCCTAGTATTTGGAATTATATTGGAGGGTTTTTCCTCCTCCTTACTACATCTAGCCAAATTCTAATCTGAGCAATTAGCGGTCCACATAATGTTTTGAATTTAAGTGAATTTTTACCTTGAATTCTTTTTTATTGAGTAAAGGGGAGAGGGTATAGTTGCAACAATAGTCTTTCAAGGTGCATATGTATCGTATATACGTTAATAGTGCAGTGTCAGAAAAATTTAACAATGCTAACATTATAGATATGAGACTATCCAAATAAATGTTACTAAACAAATACAGATACATTCTTAATAAGTGGTTAACACTGAATGCTTATTTAAAAGCTACATTATACTAACAGGTTTTTAAAAATCACACAGGGGTACTTTGGAGCTGTTGGTGCTCTTCTTGGGCTGCCGAATTTCAGCTAAAGCATCAGAGATTTCTCTGCTAATAAATGTCACAAAAGGAGCTGAAACTGGAGACATATCACTGCATTGTTTGTCACTGGGAACCAAAGGATAAAAGTAGCATTATTCTTGTTTTCAAATGTCAAGATGGTAAGCTCATGAGTATTGCAATATTAAAAGTGAGAGCTGTATAACATGTGAAGTATTTCTCATTGAAATGTTTTTCATTTTGTATATAGCCATTGTTCAGTCTCTAAGCATAGTCTAGCCTCTGATTATTGAGCTTCCTCTCAAAAAGATTTTCTGTTTATTTTATGTAGCCAGCATTTCAGTCACGTATGCTCAATCAAATCTTAAAAGTACAATAAATGTTTTACTTATGAAAGTAATTGATTCTGAGTATTTGTTACAAGTATGTGTGTTTTGGTTATTTGTGAGCAGACAGGAAGATACTCTGTATCCAAATTTATTATAATGGCAATCAAAGATGATCGTTTTATGTGATTTTAGAAATGCTAAGGAGTTATTGTAGTTTTTCTAACATACCCCCTCAGAAAAGCATGTTTATATGATCTTTCCCCAGAAGTATAACTTTCCTCAAATGCACAATTTAATTGAATATAATAATTTAACTGAAATACTGTTGGTGAATGTTAGCCTAAATTTTAAAATGGCTGGAAAACGCACATATTTGTTAACACTACACTTTCTGTATTTTGTGAATTAACATGTGTTAAAAGGCTTAATATTTTTAAATTGCAGGTTTAATTATTTTGGAGTTTGTATAATGAGCTTCTTGGACTATCTGAATGGAATATGGTTTTTGTGAATTGACATTTTTCTCATGTCCAAATTTATGTATTTCTTCTCATTAATTAGATCTGAACCATGAGAGCCAAGAGTTTTGTTCTTTGAATAGCAGCAACAGAATCACATTTGTTCTAAGTGGGTGTTTTGAAAGTTTGTAGGCATCTGAGCCGGGTTACAGATTACAAAAGGATCAGTGTTTCACATATTTTGGTAATAAAAGCATTAAAGTCCCAAAATTTGTAAATCCTTTTGCCTTGAAATCTAGCATCTTTTATAATGTTATGAAAATTTTCACATTTTTACATTTACAGTAACATTTTGGAGGTCCAGTGTAGTTAGTGAAATTGTTCAAGTCTGTTGTTTATGGTGTAGGAAGTAGAAAGTCTTGGGAAGAGACTCATCTTTCTAAATTACCAGGAGATCTGGATGTACTTCGAAGAGCTTAAAAATTGTTTACATGTCAGAGGAAGTATTAACCACATGTTTTCACAGGCTCAGTGTTGCTCAGTAGAAAGTTTTCAGTAGACTGTCAGGAGGTAGAGATATTTCTCTGTCATCTCCTAGTTTTGTAGCCAAGTGTTTAAAATTCAATTTTCTTTGCCTAAAGACATGAACATATAAATAATAAGATTGAGTATTTAAGGGGAACAGCATGTAATAGCAATGTTTTATAATCTTAGACTACGTGGGACTTTGAGTTCAGGTTACCCAGTAGCTATTTTATAAGCCTACAGTGACTTCACATATCCTGCTTTAAGATTTGTATGGCAGCGAGTGGCTATTGTAGCTAAAATACCATTGGTTCACTGTACCATAAATGTTTCTGATTTGGGTAATTGTACAGATAAGAATTTATTGAATGATAGTAACTACAAGTCTTATACCTGTGGCAAACTATGTATATTAGCAGTAGGTTTAGGGCAGTCTTTATGGCGAAAAAAGAACAAAGTATGTAAGTTAATTTGTTCACTATACTTTGGTTAATATGGATCTGTGATTCGTGTTTTAGCCTTTGAAACTGAAACTACTTGCTGAAATGCGAGTAGAAGTGACCAGCCATCTCACCACTATTGCTCTTAGCTTTTTCTATACATAATAATTACTTGATTAATAAGTAAGGATATAGAATTGTGAAGAAAAGGCCAGCTGTGGTAGCACACACCTGTAATCCCAGCACTTGGGAGGCTGAGGGGCTGGGGATTTAGCTCAGCGGCAAAGCGCCTGCCTGGCAAGCGCAAGGTCGTGAGTTCGGTTCCCGGTACCGGAGAAAAACCAAAAAAAAAAAAAAAACTTGGGAGGCTGAGACAGGAGAATCACTGAGAGTTTGAGGTCAGCCTGAGCTACAAAGTGAGTTCAAGACCAGCCTTAGCTGCATAATGAAACCCTATCTTAAAAAGACCAAAAAGATAAAAAGGATTACGTAGAAGGCTACCAAGATTTTTTTTTTTATCACAACAAATTCCCTGAAAGAATATTGTAATAAATAGGTTTAGTTTTAAAGTCAGTCAGCATGCTATCTCAGAGATCAGTAGTGGCAAACCTGTGGGCTTGGGCGCTGCAGCAGGCTGTTTGTAACATTGGAACCTCTAAAAGATTCATCATCATTGTTCTGTATTCTTTAATAGTGCCATCTTAACAGAAATGAGATGTAAACTTTACATTTAATTTTATATTTACTCGTAAATGTATTAAACAAGTAACAAGCAGGTGAAGATAATTTTAATTATATATTTTAACCCAGTATATCCAGTATGTTATTAAGCTTCTAATCAAAACAAAAAATTATTTGAAGATATTTTACTTTTGTTTTTAAACCTTAGTCTTCAAAACTTACTTATATTTTACACTTAACACCATATCTCAATTTTGACTGATCACATTTTCAGATACTAAGTTGCCACATATGAGTAATGGCTGCTGTATTTATTGGACAGTGCATTTCTAGAACTACCTCTTAAAAGTGCAGGTTATTCTGTGTTCATAAAAACTTTGTGAACATGGACTTTTAAATTTAAAGAAAAAAGGAACCTTGGTTTTTCAACAGGGAATAAGAAATTGTTTGGGTTTATTTAAATAAGCAAGGTATTTCTGACCATTCCCAAAATGTCTTATATTGGCATCCTGTCATTTCAATGTAGTGTATGTAATTTTTTCACTCACACTGATAAAGTTGCCTGAGATACATCCTGACAGTTTCTGACAATCTCCAAATTATATTTCCTTCACTAGCAAAGTAGCTGATTCCAGTGACCTCTTAAATTCTAGCTGAACTTTGGCTGATTTTTAAAGGTTTAAAAAAGAAAACCTGTTGACCTTTAATGCACTGACAGTTTGCTTTGGGGCTTAGTAAGAGAACGCCAAATCTAGGACCACCACCACCACATCCCCCGCAAGATTGCCTTTCCACTAGAGACTTAGAACTAGGGCTGAAAGTTCTCTACACCCAGTTAATACCCGAATGTGAAATATTAGTGGACTTACTGTGTAAGTTAACATGGTAGTTCTTTGCTTGGCTACTCTAAAATCTGTAGGGAAGTAGGTTGACTCTTAATTTGGATAGTTTCTGCTGTTGCTAGTGTTAGTGCTAGGAAGTCTCAGTCACTTGCTAAATATTAGACTCTTCAAAATTCCTGAGTTATTTTTACCTTCGAGAGTACATGTCTGTGTTTTACTTAACAGTTAATGAAAGACCAGTCCTGTAAGCACAATGGTGGAGCTCAGTGAAGAGGTTTATCTTTTTCCAGTAGTATTCTTACCTTCCAAGAGTAGTCCAGTATATTTTGCCTTGATTTTTAAAGTTGCATTCTTGGGTGGAAAACTTAGCCCAGCCATAGTTCTAAATGTCTTTTATAAGCAACTGTTCTTCATATTTGGGCTAGTTGTCTTTTTTTCTGTTAAGCACTTTATGCTTTTTAGTGTAATGAATTTGAGAATGTAATTTAGAAATTCTTCTAAGCCATGTAAAAGCTGATAAAGGATAATGAAAATGGGTGTACATTATTTTGCATTTAACTTAACTATTTTGTGGTGTATGTAAACAAAATAGAAATATATTGCCTTTTTGTAATAATAGTTGGACTTATTTAAGGTGATTGCCAAGAAGTCTCAATGATGTCTTAATTTCTAACCACAGTTGTATTTATTCTAGTGTATTTCAACACAGAAAAAATTAAGCAACTTTATCATCGATCTTAGAAAATAATATACATTATCTGTGTAACTGCTTTTCAATATTTAAGAGAATAATTGTCTTAAATTTTCTGCTGATCCTACTAAAGAGTTAAGACCTAAAAAAGTTTATATTTTTTCAAGTATTTTAGTAGCCCATTCAAAATAATGAAAAATTCAAGTGTTTTCTCAAAGCAGCCCCTGTTGGCATGCTTTATGTTATCTACTTATGTATTCATTGGATGTGGGCTTATAATTTGGTATTGTTTTATGACTTTTTTTTTTTTTTTTTGGTGGTTTTTTTTGGTATTCCAAGTATATAATTAATGGTATTAGGATACAAATGATGTTAAGATGTTTTATGAGTTTTATACATTGCGTGCATTTACCTTTTATTTGAACTATAGTGAAACTGACATTTTAACTGAAGTTAAATGAATTGTTCCCAGTTACTGACCAAATCATGTCTAAAAGATGTTTTTATGTCCCAATCTAGGCAGTCTTTTAAATTGAAGGTGAATTTTACATACACTGTTTTCATTTGTTTTTCTTACTGTTGCATTGTTCTTGTCACATGTAAGCTTTGTCATGTCTGAATTTTTCTAACATTGAATCTGTGATGTAAAAAATGTATGATGTGCTACAAATTTTATGCATACTAAACTAAGTTATGGCCTATGTAACCTGTAAAACATTTCTTGTAAATTACCTAATTTATTTTTCCATTTCTGTACAGTTTCTTACGTAAATTTTTAATATATTAGTTGTGGCCCATTCTGTAAACATTTTCATACTATTTTCTTTAGTGCTTATTTGCATGAGAGAAATTTGGGTTTTGTTTGTTTGTATTATGTAGCCATTAAGCCAATTTTAATATCTGCCTTTTCTGTAGTTTAACTTTTTCTAATTTTGTTAATATTTTAAATAAATGTTAGAATCATGAGTTTTATTTCCTACTTCCAAATAAATTCTAAGTTGTTTACTAATGTATTTCATTACTTCTTTATTCCACAGAATTGTACTTCCACATTTCCACTCTGATTAAATGTAACGTTGTGATTTTCACTGAAAGTAACTGTAATAGAGTGTAAACTCCATGAGAGCAAGGACTGCGTAAAGACTTGCCCACCTCTGTATTTCCAATACCTGGTACAGAGGAGGCACTCAATAAATAAATACTTGGTGAATGAATTAACTTTAAAAAAGTGTTATCTATCTAAGGTAGAAGTATTAGTGTTATCTATATAAGGTAGAAGTAATAGTTTGTTTTTTTTTTTTTGAGCCAGGGACTCTTTTCGTGCCAGGGTCTCTCTATGCTGTTCAGGCTGGCCTTGAGCTCACTTTGTAGCCCAGGCTGGCCTCAAACTTGCAAGGATCCTCCTGCTTCAGCCTCCCAAGTGCTGGGGTTACAGGCATGCCCACCATCCCTGGCTAGAAGTAGTAGTTTTTCCCACCTGTTTCAAACACCAGAAGACACAGGTGTTGGGCCCTCAGAGATTCCTTCATACTTGGATGGAATTTAAAACTTACATTGTTTATGATGTAAAAGTTTTATCTCTTGAAATGAGGCTAAAATGAATGTCTGCAGGTGTGGTTCTGAGAGTCAGACCTTGAGGGCTCTTCAGGACAGACACCAGAACACATGTGCTGCCTTGGTGTCTGTCTCATACTTAATGTCTGCCAAACCAAAATTTTATTTATTTAGGTCTTTTTTGAGATAGGGTCTCTCACTGTGAAATCCAGGCTGGCCTTGGATTCATTATGTAGCGTAGGCCGGCCTCAAACTGAAGATGATCCTCTTGCCCTCAACTTCTTGAGTGCTAGAATTACACCCTGCTTATTTATTTTTTTATTTTTATGCTCTGCCTGTCAAATTTGGTATGGTGAGCTTAGTGGTTTTTTTTTTTTTTTAAAGAGAAAAATAATATAGTGATACCAAGTTTCAAAACAAGATAGTAGAGTAACATTGGTTTATACATTGCATATTGTTATCATTAAAGTAGCTGCTCAAATAACAAGATACAGACATAAAAATTGATCAAACAATATAAACCTTTTTCAGTGAACCAATAGAAA